TTTGTCATCATTTTTTCCAATTATAAGTAATTTGGAACCAATTGTTTTTATCATTACCACTTAAGCCAATTTATTTTCATCATTCTTTCTACATACAACCCTAGACATACAATATTTCAAAAATCCTGACATCCAAATTTAGTACGGATTGTATGGATTGCAGTGCAAACATTTTAAACATTGATCGTTCTGATCTTCAAATTTCATTAACAATAAATGTAACAACTACTTTTCTTTCAAAATTCTTAAGAACAAATATGTACAATCAACATCAATACATATTGGAAAAGTTCTTAACAAACAATAAATAACTTTGCAAAAATCATTATTCCCCAACATTCTACAAAATGCTTAAATCTTGCAACACTTAATTCTTCCGCACATTGTCCACATCCAAAATCCATTCACAAACATATTGCTCCCTAACCTGTTGTAGTTCCTCCTGCAAAGACAAAAATGCACAACATATCAATAAAATACAACATTTCTATGAAAGCTCCACAACATGAAAATTTTTACAGCTTACAGTTGTGTACGTGGGCATTGTGTTTCAAATATAATAAAACAAACACAAAAAAAATAAAATTAAGAGGGTTGACGAGCCAATTCGGCTCACCACAGATACAACCCGGGTGAGCCGGGTTCTAGTGGATCAAACTCAAAATTAACCTGAATCAAAAGTTCAATTTTTTTTTCAAACCAAACCGTTCCAAACTCGTGATGAGTTAGATTGATGGATTCAAATCCATTAGCACTATAATAAATATACAGTTTTAAATTAAATTAAATTAAATCCACATATTTATCCCTGGTTACTTGAGTGCATTATTCCATCTAGTATCCAATTTTGCTATTCATTTTTAATTAAATTAATGAAACTATCACATGCGTGCTTTTATGGGTCAAGTTGTTTGATGTCATATCATATTTTTAACACTATTGTATAACTTACTCTACATCAGCATCAGAACACAAATACGAATCTAAATTTGCGAAAAAAATGTTACTAAGATCCTTAAACTAAAGAACATCACTTGATAAACTATATCTTTTTGAAAAACAAAACTGCATAGGATGTGATGATGAAATTGTATTGTATATTAATTATTTTAGGAATAGAAGTTAAATCGATTAATTTACCATTAAGTTATAATATTTGGACGGTTACACTTTTGGAAAAAGTGTTTTGTACTTATTATTAATTATAACTTTTATTCTAATAATAAGTGAAAACGTAAAACAAAAGAGGAAACAAATAGATCTTAAAATTAAAAAGCATAACTTTAAAATACGTGCTTCCAAGCCTCATCAGGTAACAAAGGTCGTACTCTACAGAACACACGGATGTTCCCTTTCAGTTCTTGTAAAAACAGAGATTAGTATGGTGTATATTAGTATGGTGTGCATATTGTTTTATTTTTTTCATCACCAATGAAATTTGGCTCAGGGAATTACCAAAATCGTATTGTGCAATTCTTTCCTCAGTTTCTCCCCTACTATAACTTTATATTCTACATCTTCCAAACGCCTTTGCAACTCATGTACAAGCTTTTGTTGACCTTCAAATTTTGTTCTTGTCTCATTTGCAGATATGTCAGAAACCTAATAAGGAACAAAAATCCAATGTATCATATCACAAGTCCAATGGGACTTCATTTTCTTTTAACTTTATGCCTCATTTATTACCTGCAGTTTCTCCTCTATAGTGGAGAGCTTCTCTTGCAGCACCTTTATCAGCTCATCTTGCAAATTAAGATTTATCTTCAAATAAATTTTACCTTTTTAGGCAATGAAATAAAATAATAATAATAATAATAAGTGAATAATATACCGAATTACTGCAAGAATTTATAAACTACTTGAGACATGGGTATTTCTCATACCTTGGTCTGCATGGATTTTAGACTGTCATATTTTCAATTGATCATCCAAAGCTGACTCGAAGTTAATGTCTATTAGCTCATTTGCAAAATGAATTTCTTCATCACATGGAATATGCAATTTTGGGATAAAGCTTTCTTTAGTGAAAAAACCTTTTGTGCTAATCCATTCTTCAAGGGCAACAACATCAGGGTGACTAAGAACACACCTATAAAATAAAAAAGTTAACATTTGAATTTCCAGAGAAAGATATAAAACCAGAGAATGAGGGTAGAAAAAAACTAAATAAATATAGTCAAACACTTATATATGGATAATAATGAAACTGGCCTCCTAGAAGAGACCGAAGAAGATGATCAGCAGCCCTAGTAAATTGAAAGAACAAAACCTATGCAAAAAACTTGTTCATACTAGGAAAATATTTTTTCGATAAAAACATTTCTGCAGCACTGAAAGATCCATAAGCTGAAAAACACGAGAGATCAATGTTAATACATTCAGACAAGTCCATTAAAGTAAAAATATCTATAATAGCACGTCAAAATTAACAAAACCCTACGTACCTTCTTCCTCGTATGAGAAGCTTTACTTTGTTCACCAAGTTCCTCCATGACACTACACCAAAACCAAACAAGGATAACACCCATAAAATAATAAAACCAATAAATGGTGGAAAAAAGTAGAACAAAAATAACACATACCGAACAACAACTAAAGAGTTCCCAAAAGAACGGTCAAACGACTGTGGAACGGTGAAAACGCTCACTTTGGCCATTGCAATCAAAGCTTCGAAGATGTTCACCGGGTGAGCGGCACCGATCAACAGAACGGACAATACTTTCGTCAACGGCGGCACTCCAGCACTCCAGCGAAGCTTTTGGGAAGAGACACGAAAAAGGGTGGGTGGGAGAGAAGTCCTTCTCTCTAGGGTTCTCTCTCTCTAAGGTTGCCTCAGAATCCAATTTTGAAATGACAAAATAAAACCCACCACTTGAAACTCTATCCCCATTTTCCTTTTTCCACATCATTTTCCTTTTTCTAATTTAATTTCCATGTGGACCAATGACATTTTGACACGTGGCCCGTGTCAAAATGTTGTCAAATGTTGTTGTTAAAATATCATTTCCCTATTCGATATTAGAAAAGCGTGAGAAGAGTTTCACTAAGTTTCATAGTGAAACACTAAATGTACTTCTCCTCCGTTAGAAATTAATATTAAATCGATATAATTGTTTTCATAATATCATGTCATATGTACATATTATTCTCATAATAAATAAATATAATTACAATATATCACAAATATTACATTATATAATAAATATAATTACGAGCGTCACAAATCTCATTAATTTTGATAATTGATATACATATATAGAAATAATATATTAAACAGATAATAATATACCAATAAATGATATTACCAATGCATTATATGTCAATGAATGAAATTATCAATTAAACCACATCGGCTTATAAATATGATGTAAGAGCCCAGAAAATTTAGTTTATAGAGGGATATGTGTTTCGTGTAAAGACTGAGAGGAGTCAGCCTTGGGAGTGAACAAGTGGCACTAGATAATGGGACCGAGCATTTAATAATAAAATAATATTGATATATAAACGTTGAATTCAAAGTTGGTTTCATTATCTGAGAAACCATTATCACTCTTCAAAACTCTGTTCTCTTTTCTCCTCCTTCTCTCTAAAAATCTCTCATCTCACGTCATCTGATCTACAATCAAATTGTGTCTAAGTCATCCTAGTGTCAAGACTTCCTCGTTCACCGATCAAACTTGTGTTTTTAACGGGTAAGTTTTGTTTCTTGAGTTTTTGTGAACATTTGGAAAATTCTGTCACATGCAAGGTAGCCCTACTGGTTGCATGTGTTCTTCAACCTTCTCTTCTCCTTTCTAACTTCATTTTGGTCCTTTGGGTGGTCTCTTATCACCAATCGGTGAACTATAGGTATTTTTAGGATTTTCTGGTGTTGAGAGCAAAGTTTCTGAAGTTGTTGATCTGTACGGTTCGACTAAGAGGTAAAGGAAACTAATTCATTTAATTTATGATATTATTCTGATTTTGATACTGTGAATACTGTTTGAGGTGCATGTGTATGAAATTGTGTTCGGTGATGATTGGGTATGCCTGAATGGATTGTTAATGTTTGTGATCATGATGTTTTTAACTTTTACAAATTTATGTTACTGTGTTGAGTGAGTTGTGAGGAAGTGGAGTAGTGAAATGGGGAATTTTGATCCGATGTGAAATTGGTCAGTGGGGAGAGTCTAGATGAATTGTTTAGGACTTGTTACAACCCTTAAGTCACTCAAAACTGTACAAAAAGTAAGAAATCTAATTTTCGGCCCTTGAGTTGTTGATTATGCAGATTTTGGAGTGAAATCTGGTATGAGACTCTTTGGAATAATGTTAGATCCTCTCTTAGTTAGTTTGATTTGTGATTGAGTGTTGGTGAGGATACAAATTGAATGCGATCTTTTATATTCTTGACTAAATTCTTTATTAGTGGATTTTCCTCAACTAAGGTTTTAAAAGAGGACTAGACGTATAATCATTCAAAAAGTTATATATGTATAAATTTTGATGTGTGTTTATCTTATTCTTGCTTTTCATTTTTGTTTGATTCAAATACCTTTGTTATGAGATTTCAAGATTAGAGATTTCAAAGGATTTGTGAAAGTTTCTTAAAACCCAATTCAAACCCTTTTACGGATAAAAAAAATTAAAATTAATTATTGACATTAACAAAAAGTAATAAAATTAAGAAAATATATAATTTTATAAGCCTAGTTTGAAAATATATCGTGATTATTTTTAATTATAGAAACTATGTATTTACTTTACAGTAGAGAGTATGAATTACATATTTTTTTAAATAAATTTTTATTTATTAAAGAATAAAATTATGATACAGAAATTAATTAAAAATTATAACTCTTCCTATAATTATAAAGATATTAATGTTCTAGTTTAAATCTATTCCTTAACTAATTGAAATAATCAGAACCAAGAAATATGTAATAAATTTTAGACCATAATAGTTATAGCATCTATATAGCATAGAAAATGCAGAAAGAGAGTACCAAAAGGTAAATGAAAAAAAAAAACACAAAACGTAATAGTTAATGAATGCATCATCTTATAACATCATCAACCTTATTTATGCACTTAACTAATTATGCTAAAACAAGTTGACTCTTCCATCATGATGCAATCCATCATCATTAACTCTAATGGGTACATCCCTTGAATTACAAAACAAGCAAAGTCATTCAAAACATAATTAATAGTCAAAACCAGAAAGAACCCTTTTTCATAAACACTTTAGTTAATGCTTCATACATACACTTCATAATTTAAAGGTATATAATATAATGTAGTTGATTTGTAAGAGCATGAACATGGTATGGTCACATAATGACACAAGCGTGAGGATTGTCATCACTAAAAGTAGCACCAGTTTGGTGGCCAAAGATGGAAGATTGTGAGGGATAGTTGTAATAGCTTGGATCACTGCTATCATAGCCATGTTTGTAATAGTTATAAGATGAGGAAGGTTGAGAAGCATAATAGGTGAGAGGGCCATTGCAATGGTGCTGCTGAAAATATTGGTTTTGAGACTCTGTTGTGTATGGAAGTTGCCATAACTCAGCCCTGCAACCAGTTTTTCGAACAGTTTTCAGAACCTTCTTCTGCTCAGCATAGCCATTCACAGTCACCTTTTGGAGTTTCATATCTATTTCAATGCCATCCACCCCTTAACAAAACCACACATGAATTTAGAACCACCAAAAAAAAAATCCATGAATTGAGTCATCAGTTCATTGATCTAGAAACTGTGTAAATTACTGGTGTGGTGACAGTCTTTTTCTGCATCACTAGTTAAATTTGTGAATAAAATATACAACTTGCAAAAGCCACTTTTATACGAGAAACTTTATCAATTTCAATATTAGAAAAAGTGTTCCTAGCATTCTTTTCTTTATATATGTGTGTGTACCTTTAAGTTTTTGTAGTGCTTCTTTCACTTTGTTTTCACATCCAGGGCAATCCATGTGTACTCTCATCTCTATGATCTTAAGATAGAGACAAAAAGAGATCATCAGACAGAAATATGAAACAAGTTGACTGATAAAAGTAATGGAGAAACTGAGATAAAAGAAAAAGGAAAAAAACAGTGGTTGATTTGAATCTTCATGTTTCCAAAGGAAGAAAAAGTAAAGTGACAGTGCTCACCGTCATGTTGCTATTGGTGAGGTAGAATCTCTTGGATGATATTGATGTATCTTTTGGTGAAGGTTCAGGAAATGAAATCCAATAATATTATTGAGTGTGCCTCTAGCTAGGTAGCAAAATATGTGTATATATAAGGGAAGATAATTGTATGGCATGGTGCCTCGTCTTTGCTTGTTATTTGTTTAGTTATATAAAATATATATTTTCTGCTACTGTTACACCGACCTTTAATTGTTGGTCTTAATTTTGGAGAACTGAGATTCAAAACTGAAGCAAAGGGCAAATGCATGTTGCTGTATTCATGGCGCAGCTACCTCAATTTCACGTGCATTAGAATAATGCCACTGCAATGAATCATGCATGTAGATCCAGTTCCATTCAACGAGGGTGTTTGACTTTGTGTTTCTATTGCTAGCCTGTCTCCCATTCCCTTTATTAACACACAAGAAGCAATTTCTTACTGATGCAGTTTATCAGTTTTTCTTTTCCATACAAAGCACTATAATTATTTTTTTTCCTCAATCTAATTCAAACATTGTGTTTTTAAACTCCACCTTTTATGTTACTACTTTATCAAAGTTAAACTGTACTATAAAATCGTTCTTGAAAACATGCAAGCAAAGGAATGTTTTAAAACAAACCCCACTTATAATTCTGTGTACAAAACCAAACTCCAAAAGCATGTCAAAAAAAGATGAAAAGTTGCATAATATAATTCAAGAATTGCAAGAGATCAAAGGATGAGAAGAGTTCCCATAAGACCTTGACCAAAACCTTGTTTTATTGTATCGTAATATAATATCTCATCATATCAAGAACAACATAGTGACAGTTATTTGATATTAGTGCAAACCTCTGGTAGACATAGTATATTAGGTTACAGTGCTGTTATGGATGCCACAACACAGATACATACTAAGCAAAACACACCCCAGTGACATGGAAGCTTAACCGGTGTTCTGCATGCCAGCAGCAATACCCTTCATGGTCAAAATAAGGGTGTCTTCAAGGCCAGGTGCATACTCGCTTTTGGGGTTAAGTTTAACAAGCTCTGCTGCAGGCTTGCTTGATTCCATGTAGTCTTTTGACAAGTGCGGCCTCAGCTTCACATGGTAGTCAGGATCACGAATTCTCTTCAATGTGTAGGCTTGCAGCACATTCAGGGTTGTGATGTATGAGTCACGAAGTCGAAGTCTTTGCTTCAAGTAGGGGTCCCCTTCAAGAAGATCCTTGTGCCCAGCAACCTAAAATAAACAAGACTTATTAGGCCTGAACTAGGTAAGGAATATAACATTAACGATACATACATATAAGGAGAAAAAGTTGGTACTTTCCTAATAGGTTCTATTGATGCTGATGCTATTATAACAGCTTCATGTTGTGTTTTTTGTACATATTATGACAACTAGTAAATGCTAATCAAAATTACCTGGAGGAGAAAGTTCTTGGTTTCTTCGTATTTAGCCCTTAAGCTCTCTCCAAATGGACGTAGCTCTTCTGGCACTAGGAGTTTATCAAATAGGGCTGCAATCCCAGGGTCTCCCTTGGCAAACACCATCTCAACCAAGTCAAGGGTGACCCTGAAGAAAGGCCATTGGTTGTACATATCCTGAAGCATTTGCAGATTCTTTGGATCTTTCTCAACAACATGCTTAAATGCTGCCCCAAAACCAAGCCACACTGGCAAATGAAACCTTGTTTGTGTCCATGCAAAAATCCAAGGAATAGCACGTAGCGATTCAATGCCTCCGCTTGGCTTTCTCTTTGATGGACGACTGCCAATGTTCATTCTTCCATACTCCAACTCAGGAGTTGCCTGCAGTGCATAATATTCATAAAGATTACAGGAATCATAGGAAAGGAATTGCAAGTTTATAACCAAATTATCGCTTTTGTTCAAGAAAAACAGTTAAACTACTAGATTTTTCCAAAGGGTATCTTCTAAACAAAGGTTAACCACTAAAGACTGAGTACTAGCAGCACTTACACGTCTGAAATATTCAACAAAACGAGGCTCTCTGAAAACAACAGAGCGATACTCCTGAGTGGCAATGACAGCCATCTCATCCATGAGAGCGCGCCATGCAGGTTTTGGTGACACAGGAGGATGCATGCCATGCTCAAGCGTGGCTGCAGTGAACCTTTGAAGTGTCCTAAAGCACAAATGCTCCTCTCCAAAAGACTGTTCAATGACTTCACCCTGAACCGTTACCCGAAGTGAGCCATGAATGGTGTCTGGTGGCTGAGACAAAATAGCAAGATGAGTTGGTCCTCCTCCTCTTCCAACAGTCCCTCCTCTCCCATGAAACATTGTAAGCTTCACACCAAACTCCTTAGCAACCTTCACGAGTTCCTCTTGAGCCTTGTAAAGGGCCCAAGCAGCTGAAAGACGGCCAGCATCTTTTCCTGAGTCTGAGTACCCTATCATAACTTCTTGCTTCCCATTGATGCGGTCTCTGTACCAATCTATGGAGAAAAGTCGGGCCACGGAAGCCGGAGCAGCCTCAAGATCAGCAAGCTTTTCAAAAAGTGGCACCACCCTCAGTGGCTCCTTCACATGGCACTCACGTTGCAAAAGCTCCACCGCAAGTACATCAGATGGGGCTGTGGCCATTGATATGATGTAGGCACCAAAGTTGTCTTTAGGTAGCTCTGAAATGACATGGAAGGTTTCCAAAACATCAGTGATTTCTTCTGTTTTGGGAAGGTCATGGCCAAAGAGAGGGCGTTTTCCTCTGAGTTCAGACAAGAGCCACTCCTGCCTCTTTTCCTCCGACCACTCTCGGTATGATCCAATTTCTAAGTGTTTTGTGATTGCATCCATTACATCAGTGTGCCTATCTGACTCTTGACGGATGTCAAGCCTCACAAGTGAGAGTCCAAATGTGGAAACTTGCCGCAGGAAATCAAGGAGGCTTCCATCTGCTATTGGTCTGTCACCACATGCACAGAGTGATCTATAGCATAGTTCAAGAGGCTCCAGGAACTACAAGAGAAAATTGGAGGTTAGAGAGTTTCCACGAGAAATTAATCATCTTTTTGATAGTTAAAGAATATTATCAATAAGAAAGCAAATAATCATGTCAGTGGAAGGTAATTTTCTTCTAAGAGCAAGATTTTGATTTATCTTTTAACAATTTATAGAACATTGATGGGAATTATACCTGCTCAACATTAGTGAAGGTTGTCTCCTCTGGGATATCAGAGGTCCCATTGGCTAGTAACTGGCGAGCACGTTCACGTGTGTTATAGAGCTTGTCTCTGACATCACCAAGAATAACACGGTATGGCTCATTTGGAGGAATCTGTTTCCAAAACTCTGCATCAATTAAGAATTTACTACATTACATTAATACCACAATTGAATTTGTTCAGTTCAAACTTAAATGTGCAATTCAGAACAAAATAATACATACCAATGTAATGTTTTGCATCTCTCTTTGAGGACCTATGGAGTTCATGAGCACGAACACGGAGCTCGTCAGTGCAACGCCACATAGACAGCTGCAATAGCAGACAAAAAGCACTAAGAGTCACGTTCGAAAAGCTTAATGATAAAAAATTACCAGAAAAATTGATACCTCAAACATGAGATCCTCTATCTGAGAGAAGTACATATTAGCAGCCATCATTCTAGCCAGCAAACACACATCCCTTGTAACTTCAGGGGTTACTCTTGGATTACCTACAGTGTAAATTAGACTTATGTAAGACAGAAAGTAATAAGGCAGTGTCTAATATTGAAGGTGAAACTCAAAAGTATACAGTGGAAACGAATGAAGAAAATACAAAGCATCAATGATTTGAAAAAAAGATTTCTTAAACCAGTACCATATGATATTTGGGACTGTAAAATCTGTTTTAAAGTGCGTGTTTTTTTCATTAGTTTCTTTGTTATGAAAGAGAAATATACCATCACGATCTCCTCCCATCCAAGAAGAGAACTGAATAACAGGGGCATTATATGGGACACGTTCGTTTATTCCAATGTTCTTCAGAGCTGTATCAACCCGGCGCAGAAACTTTGGTACACCTTTCCAAATTGTCTCATGAAAGTAGCTCATTCCTGCCCTCATCTCATCTTGTGGTGTAGGAGGAGTCCTTCGAATTTCATCTGTGCGAAATGCAGCTTGAATCTACACATGGGAAAAACATCATTAGGCTCTAGCTTCGCCATGTATAATTCTAAAAGTAAATCTGTGTTCGAATATAAAGAACAATGGAAAATTGGCAACAGAAGTTTTATCTGGTTGAAAATAAGAGAAGGGAAAATCAAATATGGAATCATTCAATGCAAACCATAGGCATGCAACATATATAATTCAGACTACTTTATCCTAAGCAAAGAAAATAATATCAATTATCAAATAAATCATTTGGCCATGGTGTCTGAGGTCCACTGTATTTATGTATGTTTACAAGAAATATCATCCTCAATCATGATTATAAATCACTAGAAAGTATAGGAAAAGTATCAATCTATTTAGAATCATGAGGATGTGAAGCCTGTGATTGAAAGTGGTTCATTATACATGAAATGAAAATACACCTCTCTTTGTAAAGCCTCATCAAGTTCCTGCTTATCATCTGGTGTTATGTCTTTGGCATATAATTGTGTCAAACAATTCCTTATCCTGAAAACAAGACAATGATCACCAACGGATATATTCAATCTCAAAGCAGAAATTTTTACAATGCTAGAAATAGTGTATTACGTATGATAAATGTAACAAATTGATAAATGCAACAATGAATCAACTATGATAAATGCAACTAAATATGAGTTGAAGTAACAGATATACCTTCCATGCTTTTGCAGCAAAGATCTGCGAACTGACTGAGTAGGATGAGCAGTTAGGACCAAATCCACAGTTTGGTTCTTCAGAGCATCAAAGACTTCCTGGGGGGTCTTCTTCAGTTGAGCCACAAGCTTCTTCAAGGTCTCTTCAATGTCTGACTCTGTCATGGCAGAGTTCTCATCCGCAAAATCACCCTTCTTCAATAACTTGATCCTTCTTCGGTAAGCAATTTGAACTTCTTCTGCCAAGTTGGCCAAATTGAGCATGTGAGAAAATGATTTGGCAATAACAATTGAATCCCCAGCATCAAGACCAGTCAGCATATTCCCAAGTTCCTCCAACTT